GATAGGCTATACATGGCGGCCAGTATTACTGGTGGAGAAAGAACCCTGGAAAACCCCGTGAAGAACCACCGACCCACGAGAAGCTACTTCTGTTAACCGAGTCTGGACTCGAAATCACGCAAGCAAAGGTGAGATGGCAGTGATCCGTAACGGTCAGCGCTTTAGACCACTTGGCCACTCGGGGTTAAAAGGAAGCATCGGTGACATGTTGAATAAATATTACAGACCACATACTTTTCTGTGACTTGTCAAATAAATCACATACTTTTCTGAGGGAGTAGCGAGTGGTGTTTTTTTAATAATATTAGATATGTATGAAATTATAAAATCAGCTGTAAGATAACATGTTATTTTATCAGGGCAAATATATATTTGCCGTTTAAAACGTTAACGTGATTACAAAATTATGCAGTGTGAAGGACAAATACTTGCAAGTTCTAATGCGTTTTAATGTCTTCTCATGTTTGATTTCTATCCCTATTCAAATAATTAGTTTAATTATAATGAATGGAAGCAATGTATGTATGTATGTATGTATGTATGTATGTATGTATGTATGTATGTATGTATGTATGTATGTATGTATGTATGTATGTATGTATGTATGTATGTATGTATGTATGTATGTATGTATGTATGTATGTATGTATGTATGTATGTATGCGTGTGTATGTGTGTGTATGCGTGTGTGTATGTATGTATGTATGTATGTATGTATGTATGTATGTATGTATGTATGTATGTATGTATGTATGTATGTATGTATGTATGTATGTATGTATGTATGTATGTATGTATGTATGTATGTATGCGTGCGTGCGTGCGTGCGTGCGTGCGTGCGTGCGTGCGTGCGTGCGTGCGTGTGTGTGTGTATGTATGTATGCATGCATGCATGCATGCATGCATGCATGCATGCATGCATGCATGCATGCATGCATGCATGCATGTATGTATGTATGTATGTATGTATGTATGTATGTATGTATGTATGTATGTATGTATGTATGTATGTATGTATGTATGTATGTATGTATGTATGTATGTGTATGTGTGTGTATGCGTGTGTGTATGTATGCGTTTGTGTATGTATGCGTTTGTGTATGTATGTATGTATGTATGTATGTATGTATGTATGTATGTTTGTATGTATGTATGTATGTATGTATGTATGTATGTATGTATGTATGTATGTATGTATGTATGTATGTATGTATGTATGTATGTATGTATGTATGTATGTATGTATGTATGTATGTATGTATGTATGTATGTATGTAAGTACAGCGGCAGAGCAGGATAAAGACTGTTTTACCCATTGAAGGGTAAGTAGTTAAAATGTAAATATAAAAAGTTGTACAGAAAGAATTAGGAAAAAACCTATTAAATAAACGTAAGAAAGAAGTATTATTAATATGTACATATTCTATGAATGATGATAACATCGTTAGGTAGCTAAAGCAAAAGATAATACAAGTAATCTATCTGTCCCATAAAGTAAGCAAATGTTGAGTTTTATTTGGAGGGAAGTTCATAAATGTACTTTACTTTGTCGATACTCTCATATTCACAACTGATGAACTTCACTACAATAGAAACGCATTCAGTTAAAAGATGAATTGGTCAAACTTGCAAAGAATAGATAGTACACATGTTAAGTTTGTCGCCACCCTTCGAGCTCTGTTTAGAAGATCAAAATGCCATGAAATCGTCTTCAAATCTTTCCTACAGTTCAGTGATATTCTTTGATAACCTGGACTATCCTATATGTCTAAGTTGTAGTGTAAATTGTTTAATTTCTTCTTACAATTGAATTAAGATCCCAAGAATCTGTGTCCTCCACAAGTATAAAGCATGATCTAGACTCATTCAAATAATCTTAATTTCATGTGTATTGCATTATTTGCTCAAGGAAAACAAAATAGTTAGTAATTAAATTTATTGTGTCCTACTTAAGTACTGATGAATGTATTGGAAATTATTTCAGGACCAATGGTATTAAGATACACAAGATAGGGGAACCAGTCTAGGAAAGGGTGAATATAAAATAGGGCATATATGTATTGGTCTGGCCGGCCAGGATTGATTAATCATGAAAGTAAATTTTGATTGAAAATAATCCGTTGGGAATGAATCACCTGAACCCCCCAAAAAGCAGAGACATTTTATCGATGGTATTTTGGTCCTTTTGCAGTTTGATAAACTAATTAATAAACTCAGCATCTAACTTTTTAAAAACATCTTTCTAGACAGAAGCTGTCAACCAATTTGCAAACTGGCAAATACATGTTTGATCCTGAACATTCAAAAATTTAAAGTTATTGAATATATAATATCATGGTGTTTGTATATGTTTACTGTAGTAGTTGAATTAGTACAGTCAGTATTTCGTCATTACTCACTTGAATCATGTTACATAGTTACCGTATAAGTACATGAAGTGAATATTTAGCTCTTCGTGCCGGCTATACTCTCGCATTAAAGGCGTTAATGCTACTAAGATTGGAATTTAAGAAGTTCACATACACGCATTAAGGCTATATATTCTATCTTGCATTTAAGGCGAGAATATAACAAAAATCAGAGTTTAGTAAGTTACTACACAGACCAATCTAATAACCCTTATCTCTTGTGCTGAAGTTATGAACGTTACAAAAATTACAGATTCAAGTTCAAGAGTCTTGTAGGAATAATAATAATAATAATAATAATAATAATAATAATAATAATAATAATAATAATAATAATAATAATGATGATGATGATGATGATGATGATGATGATGATGATGATGATGATGATGATGATGATGATGATGATGATAATAATACTTCCTGAAAAGTGGCAGTAAGAAAAAACTTGAGAGAGAAAGAAAGATAGAAAGAAAGGTACAAGATTCTAAGACTGTCAAAGTATCATGCCATGAGTGTTCCTAATCAAGTAATTAAACCTCCCACACCTTGCATAAAACCTCCCCCCCATGAAATAATTTGTCTTCACCAAAGATAATCTAGAAACAGATCGCTAAAAATAAACACATAAACGCAAAATTAAATACTACCTGTTCATGGACATCTTTTGTTGCTGTCGAAACGATTATTGAATATATTTCTTTTTGTATTTCTTTTGTAATCAGTGAATTATTGTTGACAGTGATCCCATCATTGACACTTATCACAATACTGACAATTATTCGATACTGGCAATTATTGCGATATTAGCAATTATTGCGATATTGACAATTATTGCGATATTGACGGTGCTTATTTTATTATTTATCTATTGTAAGATAAAGATTTTAAAACATCGCAACAAAACCTACGTAGAGTGAAGAGATTTAGCTAACAGATAAATGTGTAATAATTTTGGCTGCAATAAGCGCGTTTTAAGTAATATTGTTTTAGAGGAGGAGTTGATGGAAAAATTGGGGACTTGAGAAATGACTTGCAGTAGGAGAGACACAAAATGCATATTCTGGATATCACATCGGAGGAGTGGAGCTGGGGTATCGGAGGAGTGGAGATGGGGTATCGGAGGAGTGGAGCTGGGGTATCGGAGGATTGGAGATGGGGTATCGGAGGATTGGAGATGGGGTATCGGAAGAGTGGACCTGGGGTATCGGAAGAGTGGACCTGGGATTTCTAGCAAGTCTTTCTGATTTATTCGTTCCCCTAGATATAAATACGTTAAAATTGCCCAGCCATCTTAAGTTGTTAGGTTAGACCAAAGTTTCATAACTATTGTGTACATTATACGTACGTACGAGTGTGATATGTGATGTGATTTGGATTTTTGACGTAGCTTTTAAATAGTTTTCAGTCATGTCGCTTCAATGTCTGCAGAGTGGCAGTTTATAGTAATGTCTACCACTGGTGCATCATGTAGCATGATATCCCATTCAGTCACATTATCCTGACACCAGGCCAACCAGACCTAACACTAACCTCTTAATGTTGAGCGCCAACCGAGGCAGCTGTTAGTACCATTTTTATGTCTTTGGTATGATTCGGCCTGGAATTGAATACACGACCTCCCGCATCCGAGGCTGACGCTCTAACCACTATGCTACCGGAGAGGTCAGGACGTGACAGTTTTGATCTTCCAAAATGTTAGATGACATTGATACCATTACTTTTGTGAAGGAGCTTTATTAGTTCAATAACAACCATTTCATTCAAACCTGTCAACATCTAAATGCATAACATTAAAATGGTAAATTTATAAGTGCCTGGAAACTTGGTCGTCAGGCATTAGTTATCTGCTTATGGAATACGATGAAAGAACACAGAAACGACAATTATAAGGAGCTCTTTGTCTTGCATGTTACCATACTTCGTAAAATGGGCAACACAATTTTATTTAAGGTTTTCATTATTTCAGTGCTAAGTTTATAAACGTTTAATTTACTGCAATATCCTCGCTCATAAAAACGTTCCTAGCTACTTACACAAGATGTATAAAAGAGCTAAAATGGCATGACTGTTTTGGTTGTGCATTCATTTTTAAAGTGTCTCTTAATTTTAATTGCTGCAAGTATTAACGTTAAGGTATAAAATATGTATTGAAATTACCTTGCGTAGGTTTACCGTTTACATACGATACGCTCATGTAACTTTAACAACCTATTGTACAGTAAAACCTCAGATATCACAATCATTTTAAACTATCATTCATTTCGTTATGGATGAATTTCGTCAACTATGAATATACTCAACAGAAATAAGCATAAGCATTAGCGTCTTAAGTATTTTTATTTATATATGTGATGTGATGTGATTCTAATTTTTAACATAAGCTCTTAAAATTGTTCAGTCATATCGCTACGATGTCTGCAGTGTGGCATTTTATAGTGATGTCTAGCATTGAGGCATCATGCCTCAGACAAATAGAATGATGTCCCACCCAGTCACATTATACTGACACCAGGCCGACTAGTACTAACAATAATCTCTTAATTCTGATCGTAAAGCGAAGAAGCTGTTAGTACTATTTTTGTAATTCTTTGCTGTGACTCGAACGAGGATCGAACACGCGACTTCCCGCATCCGCGGCGGATTCTCTAACCACTAGGCCACCAGAGCGGTATTGATTTGTAACAAGTTATTTGACATAATAAACAAACATTGTAAAAAAAGGAACACACACAGAGAGAGAGAGAGAGAGAGAGAGAGAGAGAGAGAGAGAGAGAGAGAGAGAGAGAGAGAGAGAGAGAGAGAGAGAGAGAGAGAGAGAGAGAGAGAACAGACTGTGCTATCCCTGGATTCTTTAGTAGAATCTTGATAATAGTGGGCAGAATTTAATAGTTTAATACAAACAGAGAAACTAAATTCGTACAGAGAGAGAGAGAGAGAGAGAGAGAGAGAGAGAGAGAGAGAGAGAGAGAGAGAGAGAGAGAGAGAGAGAGAGAGAGAGAGAGAGAGAGAGAGAGAGAGAGATACCAGACAGAACAGACTGTGCTATCCCTGGATTCTGTAGTAGAATCTTGATAATAGTAGGTATAATTTAATAGTTTAATACAAACAGAGAAATTAAATTCGTACTCTACGGAGTTTCGAAACCAGGTCCGCCTGTAAATGGCACCCATCGCCTTGCCTACACGCACCATCCCATATACCGTCACGATTAAGCACGCATCACCAAAAAAAAAATGATGATGGTACTGAGTCGGTGTTATATGAGCTCGTGCGAAGCAGAGACACTCGCATGACGACCTAGTAAATAATTCTCATTTATGAATGCATAGGGATCTGGAAAGACTGTGTGTATGTATGTATGTATGTATGTATGTATGTATGTATGTATGTATGTATGTATGTATGTATGTATGTATGTATGTATGTATGTATGTATGTATGTATGTATGTATGTATGTATGTATGTATGTATGTATAGTTCGTCATGCGAGTACGTCTGCTACGCACGAGCTCCTATAACACCGACTCAGTGCCATCATTTGTTTGGTGATGCGTGCTTAGTCGTGACGGTATATGGGTGGTGCGTTCAAGCAAGGATATGGGAGCCATTTACCAGCGGACCTGGGTTCGAAACTCCTTAGAATATATATATATATATATATATATATATATATATATATATATATATATATATATATATATATATATATATATATATATTTATATATATTCGTAAATTAATTAATACATTCTTTTATTTACTAGCACTTTTTATTAGGCTTTCAAGTCTTCGCCCTTTTTTAATATGATTTAATGATTAACTGCAAAGGCCAACATGAACTTACCTACTCGTACTCAGGAAGACTATGAATCGTACTCAGGAAGACCATGACTACTTGTACTAATGAAGACTAGAACCGTTGAAACAGTTGAACCTTGAGCTTAGCCCAGTATAATAAAATGATTTCAGGTACATTACACGTATATTAGCGCATATGTTACAGGTAAAACTTCATTAAACAAAAGCGTATGGTCTAAATGGCAGCATGCTGATGTACAAATCAAAATAAATGAAAGACAATCGACAAAGAAGCTTTGTCATCGTGCAAAGAGCTTGGCAAATTAGAATAACCCACCGAGAGGGTTGTCTTGTGTGCGGTTCACTGCTTGATATGAGAGGAATACTGTTTAAAACTTCTTTAGCCAGATAGGTAAAAGAAAGTTCATAATTTGCGGAGCCTAAAAGTGACATCGCGGATTGTAAAGATTTGCTGTACAGAGGACTCCTTCTGGTAGTGATACATTACATCGTGCACTTCAGATTATATATGAAATGTTTAATGTCTATGACCCCCACAACTCTTTCATACATCGTTCAACTAGATAGAAAAGAAGTACAGTAACTGAGTATAATTTGTACCATGGTAGCAATAAAGTTTAATATTTTATTCATTGATATTAAACCTCCTGATGATCATAATTGGAAAGATTTGACAATTTGATTCTGTAATATCTCCACTAAATTTGACAATCAGGCTTATAAAACACCCAGCTAAAGTAGGATAAGAATTGAGGTTTCTGACATACTTCCTGAAGGGTTTCAGACACCATCCAAATACAACAATCCCTTGAAGGTTTTAGACACCATCCAAATACAATAATTACTCGAGAGCTTCAGACACTATCTAAATATAATAATCCCTTGACGGCTTCTGACACCATCTTAATACAAATTGGATAGATATGATTTGAAAAAAAAAATTGATGGACTCTTCCTATTTACAAAATAGTAAAAAAAACAGTACTTAAAAGTTAGAATTCTTAAAATAAAGAGTTAAAGCGTTTGTAAAATAGGTTCTAAACTTTTCAGCGTGCCAGAGAACTATTTGAACAAAAGGATTATATAACAACTTAGATAAGTCGGTATAAATACTGTCAAAAGAACGTTCAGTTGTAGCATTTAAACTGGCAAAATAACAAAGACGTTCTATCAGGGCTCTGTATGTGGAATCAGCACGCGAAAACAAGAAACACGATCAGCTTACAGAGGCTATGACTGTATCCATTGACTAAAATTACTAAGATAGTACATGACGAATTAATGAAAAACTATAGTATTCACTAGCAACTTTAATTCAACAAATGAGTGTAATTTCTGCTAGAGAAACATCGCACCAAATGTACACGTTAAACCGAGTGTACTGGAAGTACAAAACTAAACGAAATGCGCATGACCAGTACAACATGTATAACTAGGACAGTCATCTATTTAACAATATTCTTGTATCAATATCAACTTGTCTATTGAGATGAGTTGACAAAAAAAATCAATACGACTTTGGCTCAAAGTTGCAGTCATTTTGTCACATATTCAGAAAAAAGATTTACTTGACGTTTGACGATTCGAGAAAACAAACTAAGCTCAAGCCGAATTAAACCTCAATAATCTCTCTCTCTCTCTCTCTCTCTCTCTCTCTCTCTCTCTCTCTCTCTCTCTCTCTCTCTCTCTCTCTCTCTCTCTCTCTCTCTCTCTCTCTCTCTCTCTCTGAGAGAGTTATAATCCACAGTTACCTAATTCTTGACGACTTCACGTTTCGGCTTTGTGTACTCTATGTATCATGTCAAGAAACAATAATGATAAAAAGCAGTAAAGCCTATTTATTTATGTACATGCAAGAACATTTCAGCGACATTTTTATCTTATAATCTAAACCAGACACGGAAACGCCAAAATCAAATTCAGTCATAGATTCAGCACCAATTCTTTGCTGTTATTTGCCGTGCGTGCGAGTCTTCCCATACGTTCGGATTCATATTCGGTAAGAATAAAGATGATATAATTATCTGCACTTATTATGCGTTCTATTCAGTTGAAATTTCACTTAATTTTATTTTATATATATTATATATTCGGCACATTTCGTGTCATCATATAATTTTTTGTCTGTTCTTCATATATTTTCATAGCCTTTCTTTGATAGTTAATTACTGTATAATTTTAATATTGCGGCGAGGACTACATTAATTTCTCCATCACCAGACCATGAGAGGAAAGCTTAATATCTTTGTACCCTGTATTTGAATTTTTGATAGGCTTGTTTACGTATCTCAGGCTAAATAATTTAAACTGGATAATAGATGTGAAGTTAATGTTTGATGTATCTAAGTTGTTCAGAACCCTTCTTTATTGAAAACAATACATTTAAGATCGTGTGTGATTTATTCCCATTGTTAAGTATTGCATGGTGGCTGGCGGATTTATGATTGACCCACAGCAACAACGTCGTGTATTTGTCTAAATATTTACAAAGGGTTACATACAGGAATTCCCTTTTAAAAGTTTCACGCTCTGTTTCACCCATTTATCTGTTGAATGTATTTATACTTCGAAGTTGAGGTTCCCCATTCCTTGTGTTTATAACTGCAATAACAACAGTGTTTGCATTTTACTTTTTCTAATATTATGCAAATTGTTCATTATGCCTTTCTATTGCTAATTATATGCCTGAGTAGTATGTATTGCACATAGTTATATTTATTTATTCGTCAGCAAAACATTACAAAAGGGGTGGACTTCCACTTTTGGTTGTATTTTAACTAGAATTTTAAGACAGTGTGAATTATTTTCTCCAGGGTGACGAGTTATAACGTTGGATGACAGATTTTGTCTTATATACTCTATATGTCCAGAATTTCAAATAGTTTCAATACACTTTGAAGAACAGTGTACCTGGGATGAAAAGTTATGTATGACCAACACAGTATTATCACAATTTCAGTTTATTCTCAATAACATCTAAAAATAAATTGCTGACTATTTTCTAGGCGACATGGTAATTAAAGATAGATGTTAGATCATGTCTGATCTACCCGATGTAACCATATTTTCAAATGAATATTTATAGCACAAATGACTGCTATTTTCCTTGGATACCTGACATTTAATGGTAGATATCAGATGATGGATGATGTACATAAGTATTTCAGAGCTTCAGACTGAGTGTTGTAGCATCAACAAATAATGTCTTTCAGTTTTACTGATAACTGATATTTGTCGGCGGATGCCAGATTATTGTCTTATCTCCTTAATTATGCATCATTTCTTCATTTTATGATAGTTTTATTTCCTCAACTGTCTCGACATTTTTTAAGCTCTGGGCTAAATAAAATTTGCATTTGAAGACCTTGACCTTATATTAAATATATATTTGTTCCCATGATGCATCTGCGTTCGTGATATGGCTGAATACTGCAACTGCTGCAGGCTATATTAAAATTGTTTCAAATCTAGGTGACTAGCTAAAACAATTGAGACAGTAGTCAAAGTATTTAAAATTAAATGTAAAGCCTTTGTAGTTACTGATCTATCTCTGGAGCATGTAGCTCTGTTGAATTAAGTACGGAAATTCCGCAACCAGCTGTTGCAGTCTATACCATCAAGTGTTGCACATTTTGCCAGGATATCACGTCGTTCTGTCATCTTTATCCATCTACATTTCCCTTGATGTAAACTTTGATACATACACATTGAACCAGTTTTTTGGTTCGATGGGGAAAATAAAATTTTGCTTCTAGTTAAATATGTTTGGTCAGCATGACTGTGTTAACTCTTTTGTACAGCAAGGGTAAGCTTCTGTACATGCTAGCATTTTAAAATCTTAAGTCCA